ATTATCCGGCCTAGCATGTGTATGTTTTTTTTTTTATAAGCATAAATAGAGACTCTAAACGTCGTCTAAAAAATCATCCACGTCATCATAAACGTTGCTCTTGACAAGAACCGTTTTTGCTGAAATACAATTAATTGCCCGGAAATACTCCATAGCTTTAAGGAAATGTACATTTTTTTCTCATTGTTGTTAGACGTCTTTTGTAGTTAGTTAGCGGGCACTATCTTGACCATTCAATATGGTATCTAACTTACTACTATATATAACTTATTACTTTTAAAGTACTCAAGTGGCAAAAAAAGGTACGTAATAACGTTCTGCATTTGTCTCACCATTTTCATAGTGCTATTGGCTTTCAGATAGCGTCATAGACGCAGACACTCCTAGGTCATCAGCCATCTTCAGCGATAAGATATTTCTAAGCTTTAGTCCCATTTAAAACCTTAAAAATATTGATTATGTTACCGATTATTACTAACCATTTCTAATTTACTAATTTGAATGTAAATACTTTCCTCAACGTACACGTTTTCATGTTGCTTGTCGGGCCAGTAACGTTCATATAATTTCACAAGTTCTCCTAAAACATATCTGTCGAGCTACCTTAAAAACGAATTTTAGCGTCTGGCTGTGAAAAATAGATAGAAATATGATCTAAAATGGAGAAAGTTCAATTTGATAACGGATCGATGTGTTTAGGACTTCGGAACATCCTGTCATCTAATGAATATATAGACTATAAATGAGTAGATAGTTCAGTGAGACGTTCCATATGCGAGCCGCAACTTTTTCACGCACCAGCCACAATCAACTATAACTTAAAACAAATTGAGCAATTAACTAAACTTCGAAACTGAGAATAAACATTGGCTGAGAATTGATTGAAACACGAAACGAGTTGCCGTATCAGAGCGACCAGCTTCGTCCAGCGTCAGCCCTACGAATGGTGGCCAGTGACTTAACGACTGGAGGAGTGGCAAAAGCGTTCGTTTCAGAATAGAAATAACAAACCGATTTCACATAGATATCATTATGAATGAGCTAGCCTAGGCGTATCGTTCGCATAGCCGTACGTAACATACGGTATCTGCTACTATTAAGTTACTATTTGCCATTAGAGGTGCCGCAGCAGAATCAAGAACGGTGTGCTATCAGGTCCAAACGCAGCCCTAACGGAACTCAACGTACCCTTGCACGTAGCGCAAAGCAAAAAGTGCAACGCTTGAAGGAATGCAAAGATCTACTCGTTTGTCTCATTGTCGGTAAGGACTTCGTCAATTATTGGCAGTCACGCAACAGCTTTAGGCTGTATTTCAAAAAAGTTCTGCCAAATTGCGCCATCGTAAAGACTGAGGGCCTTTCGTGCCTCTAGTAAAAACGAATGATATGTGAAGAAGTTGCCCCGGTAATACACATAGCAGATTTTGAGATCATAGAATGCTTCGAACCCGTGAAGCCGTCAGTAAGCAGGCGACTATATTCAGTTAAGATAAAATGTCTAGGGAGATCGATGCGGTTGGATCACATCGCGCATTAAATGTATTTATCTGTATATGTAATGGTGGAAGAATCTGCCTAGTAATGGCAGGCGCCATACTGTGTGTACAGGATTTTTTTTTTGGAAGTATTCTCTAATTTCTGTCGTAGAGATAACTTCTAAAGCTGTAGGCAATTGACCTCATTAACATATTTCATCTGCAAAATGTACAAAACAAACAGAGTCCGTAGGGCCCTATGGACCGTAGTCTGTTTGTTGTATCTTGCTGGCATACACAGTGTCCAAACGTATGTGGCGGTAGGTATCTTCGCTATTTTAGGTATGAGATCATACACACTTACGCTAATTTACGGCAGCAAACCGTTTAGGTCCAATCTGCGTAAAAATCACTGGACCTTCAATGACTGGGGCAGATACAGAACTGTTCCAACTGCCATTAACTACGTCACATAGAGAAATAGTAAGGTAGGCGCTTATTTTCATTCCATACAAATTACATAAAATATGCTGCTTTTAGCCATTCGTTCTACGATTTCATTTAGCAATAGTACTGCTATAAGAATCTATATCTATCAAAAGTTGTGTCCTATACAGAAGTACGTCTATTTCACATTATGCAATTGCAGATGCCAAACTCGTCAATATTGCCAGGTCCGATGTAAAACAACTACAGAAATAGGATTTTCTCTTTGTCCTCTTGGGTCTTCGTGCCGTCCACTATTGTTGGTCGGCCCCGCACGAACTGCGCGACGGCCATGTTGCGTTTGTGATGGTGAAAATTCGTTCACTCTATAGTGAATTCTTTTAGATCTGGCACACCGTCGTCTCAAATCGCTGAATGCCATTAGATTGCGTCAGCTATGTTGCTTCACGATTTTCCTAAATCATGAAGCATTTTTCGGTGATTGCCAACGGTTCTGCAATATACACCCAATTAAGCTGTATTTGGAATAAGAACGAAATCAGCGCAAAGGTACTGACTGTTGAAACGGATCGCTATAGAACAGCTTAAAACTTTATGTGACCATGTGTTCGTCAATAACCCATCTGACAACTTCGAAAACCGACGAAGTAACGGAAGTACGCCTTGCAAATACTGGAAATTCTAGCCATTTTTGACAATGAACTGTAGAAACATTGTAGTTCTTGCGTTAGATCTGGTAGAACGGTGGCGCTGGTGGAGGTCGTATCCCCGCCGTTCGAGCGGATAGGTGAGACAATGCGGGAAATCAGGCTTGATTTGTTTAGACAAAGCCTCTGAAGTGCCGGCGTTTGTTTGAAATTAACGTTGTTTTGGTTCTCTGTAGCTTGAACATAACTGTGTCTTGATAAGTCAGTCATCACAAATAGGCGTATTTTGTGTATATGGTTAGGTTTTGAATAGAGCATCCGCTAACTTTAGAATCGTGCGACAGATCACTAAACGTAATTTTTACTCTGTGTAGAAGAATCTATACTTCTATGCTTTTCATGTTTGTGTGTCTATAGTTGTGCATTTGGAGCGTATTCATTTGGCAAGATAGGTTCAGCTGGGCGTGGCTTTGATATATATATATATATATATATATTGTTTTCACAAAAAGTAACGGACGGGACAACGATTTAAGCTTAACACACGTAGCCATATGATAGGAACTGGCTAGTAAAACGTGGTTGGCTGAAAGTGTGTATCTAATTTTGTCCACTTCATCTTCGGTTGGGCAATGTCGACGCGGCCAGATTTAACCGTTTCACAGCTATTGGGACCTGACTAATCAAATAATATACATGTATAAATATATAGAAGTTATATTTTCGGATATATATTGCAGGATTTTCCCATTCGCGTCGTTGAACATTATTGTGTTTTTAGCAGAATACCGTTGATAGTAAGGTTTTACGGGTCGAAACAATGACCATTTACTTCAGATGACCTTGTTCCGCCTATGCGCGTCCAAGGATCTGTTGTGGCTTGAATGATTTGTTCCCTGTTGTAAAGCTACTGAGCTGGCCAGAAACCAAGGTTTACTGTTGATCTTGTTTTCTGTAAACGTGGCGCAGCGAGACCGCAGGGAATCGATAGTTATCCAGCAAATAGCTATAGGCTTGCGTAGACAGTGCCATACGCTACGCCGAGAAACAAACAGGTCACTGTGTAAAAAGCTATATTGACAAGTATACGATCTGTATAGAATTCCATAAGATGGAGTTTTTATTTTTATTTGTTTACTCTCTTACAAATTACCACGAGGGAGTCCGCTTTATTCAGGCAACATTTATTGCTATCGAAGTCATCCTGGTAAAGTCGGCGCGTTGACATGACAAATCTTCACGACGGTGGCTTCACGAAGCTATTTCTAGTATTCGACTTGCTTTCTCACCTAACCCGCTCATTGCGCATTGGCCACAGGCGGACAGCACTGCCTTCGTGGCAGAACAGTCCTCAACAAAGATGCCTTGCTGCATTTGGACATTTGAGGGAACGGAATGGAAGGGACGAAGAGGGGGAGAGCACCTGGGAAGAAGGAAAGTTCAGCAAAAAGAGTGCGCAGCTGGAGCTGTCATTGGCGCCTGCTGAGGATTCGAGTTTTGTTAACCTTCAAATATGGGCAACGGAGGCATTGACATCGTCAGTTAGTCAGTCAGTGACAAAACCAGTCGTTTAACCAAGAAGTAGCAACCAATTGCACTATCTGCTTTATATACAATAATGTCACTGATTAAACTGACGTTAATAATAATATAATTAGGCTGATTTTTCCGTCCGGGTTTGAGCTGACCGTGGACCGACAGACGCTATTTTGTAAACGACGCCTAAGTGAGTCGAATTCGTTCTCGGCATCCATTAAATAGGCGTTCGGGCACAGACAAATGACACCGTGAAGTGAGAGTACTTCACTAAGGCTCTATAGAAAGAAAAGGGATTATATAAATGCGACCCAGAAAATTGCTATCATTTTTGTTGCCTAGAACGAAACGTATAGCGTAGCTATATTGTCCTGTCTGCATAAACTAAAAAGGAAACCATCAATTTGTTACAAGCATTGTCATATTTCTAACTTTTTCATTTTTCTGGTTACCTACAACCCTTCATAAAACTAACGCGATGTATTATAGGAACAGTATGGGCATATGAGCGTAAAATGTCACATGACATACATAAATGATCACAATTGAAATAATTATATATATATATATAAAGGCAGAGCAGGAAATAGTGCCCCAGACGGGCGATTAGACGTTGTGGCTTAGTGGGTTTTGCTTGCGAAACCCGAAATCATTAGCTTGAATCGTCCTGCTGCACATGTGATTATCACAATAATATATCACTATAAGTACGCATTAAAGTAAAGTTCAACGTTCTGATTGATAACAAGGTGTCTCGAAGTGTACACAGGACGATGACTATAGTTGCTCAGAGCCTATATTTGGTTAAGTTATGGGGAATAATACGCTGTGGCGGCAGAGCCCTATGACGATAATGCTAAGATGATATTTTCCCATTCCATTTGGTCGATTTCAGTGCTATTGCAGACGATGTGCGGCTTGGCGGAGATCTACGATTCGGAACGTATCTTTCGATTTTGGCTGGGCTTCCGTCCCGTAGTGGCGTTTTTTAAGGCCGAGAGCGTCGAGGTCATCCTGAGCAGTAATACGGTTATAGATAAATCGTTCGACTACACGCTGTTACATCCCTGGCTTGGCACAGGTCTACTAACTAGCTGGGGCGGAAAATGGCGCCTTCGTCGAAAAATGCTTACGCCAGCCTTCCATTTTCGCATTCTGGAAGACTTTGTACCGATCTTCAACGAACAGGCCCAGATTTTTGCATCTCTACTACAACCCCATGCAGACAAAAGGACAGTAGACATCGTCCCGTACATTACGATGTGCACGCTCGACATTATCTGTGGTAAGTATAACGCAGAAATTAATTGAGAGCTATACAACTAGATGTAAATACAAACAACTATTCTGTTACTTTATGTGAAGGGAGACTGGAGAGAAAATTGTAAAGTTACATATAAGTAAATTTCCAAATGGATAAAAGGATACATATGGGCGCTTGTGTGTTATTGTACTTGTGCATAATCGAAACTTAACTGTGCGCTCGCAGAAACGATACACATTTCAAATATCTGGCATACAATACCTAATCAGATCCCAACGTTTGCACTATTCTGATCAATTTTCAGAAACGGCAATGGGTGTCAAAGTGGGCGCTCAACAAGATTCGAATTCTCGTTACGTGCGTGCTCTGTATGAAGTGGGCGAAACGTTTATGGCACGCATAATGCGACCATGGTTATGGCCAACCAAGCTGTTCTTTATGTCAGCACGTGGACGACGCTTTCAGGAGAACCTTAGTCATTTGCACAATTTCACAAGAAAGGTACAATGGATTACCATATGCAGTAATGAATATCGATATATATATATCAACATCGAGTATTTGAGCTGTTCTCTATCCTATAGCGGCACTATTTTTGCCAAATTTGAAATATTTTTATTTTATCGCCTCTGGTCGTCCGAAGCATAAAAAATGTCACACACGCATATTTTATTCTCGTACTATATACATATATTAGGCTGTTACAAGCGGATCCGGTAGACTCTAAAACTGAATGAATTTTAAACTAGTTGGGCTAAAATAATGTTTTCAATATGGGTTAGAGTACTCTCTTTCGTTTTTTTATTACACATTGGTCTCAGCACTCTGCCAGCTTCTAGACTGCCGCATCTCTATTACTTGCATTCCTTATTTATGGCTTCTTGAATTAAATAGATAGCGGGATAGGTGTGCCCATTAATCACCTTTTTTAGGACAACTGATTGTTTGAATTGCCTGACTTACATCAAAAGAATGACCTGGCTGAAGCCAACGTTGGATACTCCTTTGCTCAGTTCAAAAAGTAATTAAGGCATAGTAATGTGGTCTGACGTTATCATCAGGCCATCAGATTACGTGCTTTCCGTTGCCGTTAAGAATATATAAGCCTCTAAAAGAACTCGCGATAGAGGCTGCATTCATCTTCAACAAGTATCTGACAGTAACAGATACCCATTGCGTGTACTACCATGATCTTACATCGCAGACCTACTCGACACGGCCACCCATTTTTCTAAGGAACGACGTTATTCTCTTACCTGGTTCCACTCCGGCTGGCGGTGATATTGAATCTTGCCTCATCTATGGTGATCCTATGCTCCCATATTGGTTAAGGCTTTGCAAATTGCACATAGAATACACCACGCGTAGTTCCAACAGGTCCAGAGATGATTCGTGGGGAACCCCTTTTTCTAGTCATTTTCCACATGTTCAATATTTGGCTCACAAGTAACGTTGTAACACGTTACTTGTCAAATGCTGGCTTCGGCCAACAGAGATTTTAGACTCAATGCTTTTCTTTCGTGAAGCCTTTCGATTGTCGCAACACGTTCTCGTTGTTCGGGCCTCGATATTTGGTCACTCTTTCGCTTTTCGAAATGTTTGCACCACGATGTATTGTGTTTTCGCTCAAGGCCTTTTTGCCTAATATCTTTACCACCCTAATTAATTTTCATGGCGCTGTGACCTTCGAGGAGTAAAAATTCAACCATTTAGCGTCGATTTTTTGAGGCTAATTTTCTTTCGAATTGGAAAAGACCCAATCGGTTTTCGATCGCCAATTCAGAAAGCTGGAATATTTCCCAGCTTAGTTTCGTCTGTTAACGGCGAGTTTAAAACATACAAATTCAAAATTTGCCGAATTCGCTTGCTACACCCTTCCATATTATAACTATATGAGTCTGAAATGATCCCTAAAATTATAGGATGAATTTACTTTATTTATTTTGTTTATTTATTATTATTATTTTGTGCTCATTCCAGGTAATTCAAGACCGCAAGGCAGAATTGCTTAAAGAAAAGAATGGCGAGCTCGAGATAACCCAAAATCAACCAGATCAACACATGGGGGTAAAACGGCGCAAGGCGTTTCTTGATCTTCTGCTAGGACATCATCTGCAGAACAACGCTTTGTCTCTAGAGGACATTCGAGAGGAGGTGGATACGTTTATGTTTGAGGGGCATGACACAACTGCAATGGGTAAGATAACATGTGACACAGTAAGGGTTCCAGCTTTCTTAATTTGTCTCGAAGACAAAGTATAGTTGTTTAAATTTAGATCAGTCGAAACATAACACTGTAGGCGTACAGAGCTGTACTCAATGAGTAAAGAAAATAGATTGTTTAGTTTCTTGTATTAATCATTGCTTCATTTTCTACCCATACCAACGAGTCATTTGTCGCTCGTTGTTGATGTGGGCTAGTATCCACCAGAAAACAGGTTATTAAAAGGCCAATCACCGCAACGAACGAAACTAATAGGCTTTGGGATTAATAAGCTTTATCTATTATAAACCAATCCTTAGGCATCGCGTGGTCAATGTACCTGATCGGCCTTCATGAGGACGCACAGAAAAAGATCCAAGAGGAGTTAGATTCAATATTCGGGGACGATCGTGAGCGACATATTACCACAGACGACCTCAAACGGATGAAGTATCTTGAATGCGCTATTAAGGTAATGGATTAGATTTCTTATACTGTGATTAGTTCATCAAACGAACAATAGGTTTTACTCAGAATTCATTGCAAAGTGAATTTTTTTTCTTTTGAGGAAAGGTTTTCGGCTTTTACTATAATCTTACTGTGGGTCAAGAATTTACCGGTCCAGACGTTTCCTTTTCATCGGCACCATAAGATTAAGGCTCTAAAGACCATATTTTCTTAATCTTGTTTCAGGAGGCACAGCGTCTATTCCCTTCAGTGCCATTTATCGGTCGGGAACTTATGGAGGACGTCGTTGTCAGTACGTATAGCACGGGAGTGCGAAATGTGCGGGGCGGGGGGGCAGAAAAAGGTCCATCTATTTTTGCGGACAGTACCTTTAAGCCATGTGCTTACTATGCACCGTTTAGCGATAGTATTTTACCTCATTAGCATAGATTTGAGATCACGGTAGTACGAAAGATTGGTAGCCACGATCTTGGTAGCCAAGATACGTGTAATAAATGATAAGCGTCCGTCCGCAATTCTCTTTCTCAACTAATAACATTTCTATTTTTCAAAGGCGCTCATGTTTCGCGCTCTCGAATCATATATTCATTACCGATTCTAATAACATAATTTAACCATTTCTGGACTTCTATTTGACTATCTCAGCTGTTCGGCATCTCTATTGCATGGCACGCGCTCAGCAAAACCAACTATTTGAAGCTAACTATAAAGACGTTTTACTCGTTATCTTCCCTTTTTTTACAGTGATTGAATGTTTTTTGAAGGTTGACACTACAAGCGATTATGCTTTGATAATGAGATTATTTTTTTCCCTAGAAGAAGTAGCCGGCCGGCACAGTGAGGTCATCACCACTGAATGCAGTACACCTTGCATGCGTTTCTTTAGCACACAAAAGAAAAACCTCAGTAGCTAAAATTCTGTATATATATATATATATATATATATATATATATGTATATATATACACAGAGAGATACATACATGGAGCCAAAGACCCTTTATTTATACAAATTCATCTTCTCCAATGATGATAAATCGATAATTCGAGCTTCAAACATGTTATCGCTAAACATGACAAGCGTACTTGCTTAAATCCTCCTCCGTATCATTAGCGGTTCTATATTCTATCTATCGTTACAAAATTATCTAAAATATGAAACGTTTCCAAAAATGACTGATTAGAGCAAAGAAGCAAGTGATTACTATGGTACGTTTGCTACGTTACACCTATAAGAATACTCTGGTAGGTAGCGAGACACCATTAGATAAAAACGAGTAATATTAATCGAAACGTATCTCGGATGTATCGCGATACGACCTTGCTTTTCATCTGGCGGTGAGTTGTTTTTACACAGACGAATTTATTGTTGTTTCTTGTACCTATTTCGTGTTCGTCAACGGTTGTGGGGGATCCGTAGTTGGCGTCTTATTGTATTGTATCTGTGGTTTTGCTTCATTATATATTATCATTTGAATTGCTTACGTAATAGCTACTGCTGTCCTTATTGGTAGATTGTGGGATGCTGTCCCGTGTCAAGCGAAAGCAATTCTATTACATTTTGATTAGGCCATACATTCGAGCGACCTCAAACTATATGATTGTTGCATCGTTGCCCGTCAAATATCTCTAAGCTTAATCCCCTCCGTGCCGTCATTTTCCTGCCCAGTGTATCTATCTAACCGTCTCGTGATACGGACCAGGCTTTTCCACTATCAACCAAACACTTGTCGTACATCTTCATGCAGCTGACAGCCATTACGTAATACCTAAATCGTTGGTATTGTGTAAATGAGCTAAGCATTGTGAAGTAGTTTGTGTACACATACATGTGCGGGCGCCTCTGTTTGTCCTGTAGATGCGGGAATACCTGTTGAATGATCTTCGCTTTTCGTTCTTTAGATGGGACTTTAGATAGGGTTAAGGGTTGTTAGGTATCGTCGTGTAGAGGCTGTGTGACGCTTAAATAATGATTCTACCGGACGTTGCAACAGCGCTTTGTAAGTACTCATGGAAACAAGCAGCAACGTTCTCCTCTAAAGAATACTTAGTAGACGCCTGAATACTCACTGTAAACGGTCCACATAATACATACAGGGATAGTATTATGAAGTCGTTTGAATTCTGAAGTTAACATAGATTTGTATGAACATTATAGTGAACTCAGCAGCACATATCGATGCCGAAATGTCCTATCCAGACGTTGTTAATATGTTTGCCTCAAAAGAAATCTAAACATTTTTTACTTTCTTAATAAAATTGGTTGACGAAGGCCGAGCCTAAAGCTTTGTGACAACAATGTTTCGAACAAGCATGCTTCGTCAAGCTTCATCTTGATCTTCACGCAAACTTTAGTTTCAACGCTGAAATTTTAGTTAGCAGCCAACAACAATTGCTTGCTTGGTCTATTCGCCTCGTCATTACTATTGCTATTGTGGGTGCAAAAGGATCCAATATGTCAGCGATTGCGTAACGTTACACAACTATTTGTTATAGCTTTTGCATGACACGGTGTATGCGCCTCATTTACGCTGTTTCTTGTTCTCGAAATTGAGATTCGAAGTGTTCGCAAATGTGGTCCTTGCTCGCCTGTAATATAATTATGTCTACTGTTTCTTGTCCTGACTTATGAATTAATATTGGTTGCGGTCAATGTTATATGTTTTTCGTCAGACGTGGCAGCTGCCTTCTGTGTAGAGGCTATTGATTGCATCTATCTAGTCGCACTTTCAGTAGCCATTGTACGATCAGTTCAACACGTTTGTCGTAGACAGAGTCGTACGTCTGTTCAATATCTAAGGTTTTCTTAGCCCCGTTCCAGTACTACTAGAATACCTTTATGCCAGTTGCAGGCAGCTGCCACAGAAACTAGTATGCTTCGAAACGATTTACTTATATATGCCTTTTTTTTAGATGGATACACGGTTCCTCGCGGCACGACATGCTTTGTCTTCACGTACATGCTACATCGAGACAAGCAGATTTTCCCCAATCCGGAAGCGTTTATACCTGAGAGATTCCTGCCTGAGAACTCAATAGGACGCCATCCGTTTTCCTACGTACCTTTCTCGGCAGGGCCAAGAAATTGTATCGGTACGTTATATATTCTAAGATAGCCCAGTTCTTGGGGTAATTGAGTTAATTAATAGATACATTTTATTCCACCGTATCTGCTTGCTAGAGCTTCGTCAGCGAGTCTCCGTAACTTTATGAACCACAGTGAGGACAATCATCGCATTATATCTAGCATTATAACTGTTCGACGCAGACTGTAAGCGTTTTGATAATAGTCAATTTATGTGTTCCCACGTTCTGCCTATCTGCAATCTCATGCCTCAGAGTCTACTTGATTAGTTAGCTGTTCATTAAGGTTTTGCGTTGTTTGTGCCGTCGAATGTTGGATGTTTCAGGGCAAAAGTTTGCCCTTATGGAAGAGAAGGTTGTTTGCGCTACCCTTCTGCGTCGATATCAGATCCAGTCGGTACATCATCGAGACAAAATCCATTTGTTGGCTGAATTGGTCATACGATCGAAGCAAGGCTTGAGAGTTCGCTTCAGGGAAAGACCACCTTCGCACAACGTTGGCCACAACAACAGTCTGAGGTGGTCGTGTCCGGCCGGACCTGCTCGTCAACACTGGCTCAGCGAAAATAGCAGACTGTTCGACGATGACATGCGATTGCACTCCATCTAGCAAAAAAAAATAGCTAATGCTGCCATTCAGCTAATAGCTCCTTAAGCTTAGTCTCATGTAGACGCCTGACTTGTTATACCTGCATTGCGTCTGAGGGATAAGAAAGCGTGTTTCTAAGTAGATATAAATAGAAAAAGAGGAAACAGATTAATTAATGGGGACTTGGTGGGAACTTCGTTGTATGCAAATTAATGCAGGTTGTTCACGCTGCAGGCACAAGCGTCGGCGTTTGTCATGTAGTCAGGTACCTTCCGCCTCGGTAGAAGGACCTTAGTCCTAACGGAGGACGTTGGCGGTACTTCACATAGTGAGATGTGTTGATACTCGTTGTCTTCGATGGCTATCGACAGCCATCTATCTGATGCCAACGATGTTAACCAGTACGGCCTCATTAGGGCCAATCTACCCTGCCCTTGACATTTCTTGTCATGCGGCGGGAACTGTGTCCATGGCGGCTTGCGTCCTCCAAAGGTTGTACAGCTTAACGAATTGGTGATGTCTGCTCTATATGTTATTTAAGAAAACGTACGCGCCCCACAGAGTGATGGAAGGGCATCACTTCCAGTGGAGGCATCCCTTGTAAATAGTCTTATAACCACAGACGATGTCTGCATATTGAAGATGGTCGCAGGCCAAAGGTGTGACAAGTAAAGGGTTTTTGGGTCTCTGCCAACAACACATCGGCCAGTCAATAACAGTACAGTCATTCAAACAGTCACATACACACAGACATGCGGCACAAATGCATGCCTTCTGGTCTCCTGAAGACAGTTCACGACCACCATAACCCACGACTTGAACCGGTCTGCCTGGTATATCGCAAGGTTCTTTGAAGCCGAAGATGTTCTTCGACTTTCATCTCTAAGGGCATAAACAAAACGAAGATCACGCGAGTAACACAAATGATCGATCACACAATTACTAATCATGATGACGATTGTGGTAATGATTACGATGACAAGACATTACTCAAAACGTGGACAATGTCATACTTTCTCCTACATATTGCGATGCAGAATTTCGACGACGGACGAATCTATTTAGAAATGGCGCAGGCGCTAGAATTCCCCTAATTATATTTTAAAGCAAAATATAATTTTGACATTTGCGCAAACAGTAATCATGAAAAAATAGTTCAACTTTCTGGCCACGTCATCTTGTAATATAGAATTTAGACACTAACATAATAAATAAGATTAATAGTAGAATCAGCTCTAGCCGGAATAAGGTCGGCATTACTCCAAACACGTAATGGACGGATCAAAATCCATTGAACGGGAAATCGCAAAATGCAGAAGGACATAACCGTTGATTTTTCCAATGGCCTAGTTGCTACCGTAAGAATAAGCGAAGTTATTAATTATATCTAGGTATACCCCGTTCAAACAATGCTCAGCTAGTCGAAAAGCTCACAGAGTAGCCGACCCGCCATTGTTGTCGCATGGCACATCTAAGATAAACAATGTTCCTAGGTTGGAACGACAATTGTTAATATTAATAATAAAATATTAATCTGAGTTATTATATTCTAATAATAACAACAACAACAACAACAACAACAACCAAGAGTGGTATCGATTGAAGAGCTCTAATCAGCAATTGATTAATGGTACCGATAATAGGGCGCCAAACTGGGCAGAGGACAAGGCGAGATCGACCCAATCTTAAATATCTAGATCGTCCAGCACAAAATAAGAGTCGCTTATACGAAAATAATAAAGAAATCGGTGTCATCAATATAAATCGAATTCTTCAACAAAGGTTAGGTACACAAGAAATATGCAAAAGGGGAGATCAATAAACAAATGGAAATGATGTAACGTACGGAACGACTGTTTTCACTCATATCACTATTACTAAAAATTGAGAACATAAAACGATTTGGAACTTTCTATTCTAGAGGCCCCTTAAGCAAACACAGTGAAGTTAATCGAAGTTGAAAAATTTACACTTGACATTACCACTTAATAGTTAATAATAAATATTAATAGTTGAAAAATACTGATATCTGAATCCAGGCTGTCATGCTTTACTACCGTGGTAAGGTATTTTTTCGGTTATAGGTGGCATTCGTCCATTTGCCTAAGGATTTACGAAATTATGTTCTCCGCCTGTTACTTTATATATTCTGCTAGCGGGGCAAAGAGCTGTTAACGAAGACGAGTGCAGGTCACGAGCATCTCTCGTCGGTGGGCATACGTGCGAAAGCAATATATGCACGAGACAGTGGACAAACTGTTACCAAATGAGGAGCGTTACTTTCTAATCCTCTGCTCTATCTGTACCATGCTTTATTTCGATTGTCATATCAGGAAAAGATGAAAAGGTCTTTTCACTACTCACACAGCTGTATGAAAGTGTGCATTCTAGCTTGGGTAAAAAAACAATTATCAATTCAAATAGTATTGGATTTAGTATTATGTGTGGTTGTAAGTAGTACTTAATAAAATTTATACAAGAGCAGGACAACTCTCGATTTATTATCGGTTACTATTGCGGCTTGCCGATCAGAATTAGCTATGAATTTGACTTCGTTTTGTTATAGTTGAACTTACTCATAACGATGCTTTTACTCCAAAGTAAAAAATAGAACCTATCCATACTTGTCCAATATCTCGGTCAAAATAACTTTCTCTAGTGCCTCGATCACGTTCCCTATGAATGTTGCGTAACCTAATCAGTCGCCAGGCTAGTAACTTAGAACTTTTTTCCTTGAAGATCAAAAGTCAAGCAAGTTCGAACTTCCAATACGACTTGGACACCTTTTCCTTCTGGTTAACAGGTAGTGATACATCTACCCGTAGTCAATAGAGTAACTCACGTAGAGATTTTGTAGAAATTGTCAAACTGAGAGATTTTATAATGCGATGAACGTTGCTATCACACCACACCGGCCCTACAGTCTGTTCGCAGCAGCTAGACAGACAGAAGCTATCTTCTTACGATATCATTGGAATCAATCCCTTTCTGGCCTTCTCAAACTGGACTAGGAAGCTCGTTGCCCACGAGAACATGTTAGGGACCGGTAAGAACAATTCTCATTCGTTCATACTCAGATTCTGTTTGTTGCGGAAAGATGAAAGTTCAATTTTTCGAAATTCGGGGATAGATCCAGAGGTTTTTGTATAATCAACTATAGTCAAAAACGATTCCACAATATATTACCTTACAAAAGTATTTCCCATATGCATTTATCGATCACTTTTATATACATATATATAATCCTTTCTCTATGCTATTAAATGTTATAGATGTCTCTTGATGATGTCTATTGATGAACAAACTTGATGCGTTTTACGGACCAACACACAATTCTAGCCCGAGAGTAAAAGTAATGGTAGTTTTTCGAAGCGGATGGCTTTAAAAGCACGCATCTTGGGCAACATGAGTTGAGATCTGACAATGCTATGTTTTGAATACTAAAACAGGAAAAAAATCAAGCGGCTTGAGTAAAGGTGAAATTTCTGAAAAAATCTGCTATGTTTTACTACTTTATGACAGTAAGGGTGCGAACGCCACCCAGGCCTATAAAAAAAAAAAAAGTGTTTATGGTCTAGGTGCGTTATCGGAAAAAGTGGCCCAAAGATGGTTTTAATGCTTTCGGTCTGGAAATTTCTATATGAACGGTTCTCTTCAAATTAGTTTACCAATTACGAAACAAAAAAAGTTGATGAAGCTTGTTGCAAGACTGATACGCAAGTGGCCATTCAATCGCCAGGGAACGAAACGTCTACCACTAAATAATCTTATGCTATGTGAAGGAAGCGTTTTTTGTAAAGAAAAAAAAAAATTGACGTTTAGGTGCCGTACGGATTAACGTTAAACTATTGTCTCGATCGCGTCATCTCCAAACTCCACAGAAATACGACGCAATTAAACCGCTTTTAAAGTGGTTGATCACGGGCGATGAAAGTAAATAACATTAAACAAGAATGGAATCCCCTGGACATCGATTGATTAGGACCTGTATAATATATAAGGCTGCCAAAAATTAACGGGACTGCAAGAAATCGACCTAGACTAGTGCGTGAAAGTAACGTTGTGCGCAATCAGACTACATACATTTTTATCCAGCCGGCTGAAATTCAAAGAACTTGGACAGAACTTTTAATACAGCCGCCGTATAATCCGGATTTTGCACTCTCAAGCTATCATCTGCGTTCGTTTCTACAGAAGTTTCTTAGCGGTTCAATTTTAAATCGTAAATGTAAAAAAAAAAAATGTAAAAATCGTTCGTTACAATTTTTCGTCCAGAAATTACAGTGATGGTATCCGGAAAGTGGCAGACGGTAATCGATAAAAATGGTATATATTCAGTTTAATGTATTAAAAAAAAAACAAAATGCTTCAATTTCGGTTTAAAAATGAGTAGTACTTTCTAACTGGTCGATAATTATATTGACCCATTGCTAACTAGTCGCTTGTTTTTAGAAAATTACTAGATCTTCCTTTTGCGCCCGGAGACGCCAATTCTAGTCAACTTAATTACTAAATGCTATCGTGTCCGTTTAGGCGCAGGAAAAGGAAATGTCTGTATAACTGACACAGGCATGAATAAACCAAATCAATGTCCGTATAGGGTTGACGTGCTCCTTGACGTGAGAATCTTGCCGCCCTAATATAATGGATGCGCTGTACTTAGCATCGTTACTGGCTGCGTATTACATAACCTCTTCCGTATGGCGTCTCCTTTGTGCAGCATTAAATATCGACATGGGATTCCTGGGTGAACGGGAAGCAAGACGCCTCCCAGATAGGAGTACTCGTTAGTACTGTTACGTTCAATCTGGATCAGTCGTCAGTGACACCGTCAATCATCCTAGTTCAGTTGAAACGGCTCAACAATATAGTTAATAGTGGACCTAGCGGGTAGCGTGTATTCCATGGATGGAGATTTACCAGAACGGAGTTATATGATAAACAGCAAATTATCTTACTTCTCCTATTTCGGATCTAGTGACGTTAATCTAATGAATTTTACTTTTAGCTTCACAAAAAATGCAGGCCCAGAACTCTTTTTGCCAGAGCATTTGAACTAGTTGACAGCAGAATTATTAAGGTAAACAGTTATCATTGGATGCCTACGGACACCGTGTCACATTGATCGTGTCAATATCTACGGGTACAAACAGGTCAAAAAAGTGCAATTGCTATTAAAGAACAGAAGCTGTCATCATCCTCTTCGCTATTTTGTCAGCTCCAACTATTGATCAATGATGCACAACAGGCAATTAATTGAATTAACAGTTAAATTTTGCATTCAATTCAGAAAATGTCTTCATCATAAAAATCGTTCGTGGCTCGCAAGGTGGCCTGCTTAACATAGATACTAATACTATGCTTAGCCTTGCAGAAAGCCCAGCTTATTTAACCCACTTAGGATGTGCTTTTCCTTTATATATTTCGAATAAATCTGACGTGTGAATAGCCGTACAATAATGTTAATAGGCTATCTTACTCTATATTTCAGTGAAAATTATAGAAATCCAACAGAAGAGCCAATGTTTGCTGATAACTATTATGACAACACTATCATATAACTAGTAGATATATATATTTTTTAATTATAATTTGGTGCACTTCTAGTTAGTTCTTAGGCCTCAGATTGAAAACTAATGGCAAATCCTTTTGCACGATTGCGTAACACCACTGAATTAGGTCAGGTCGACGCATAGAAGAGCGTCGCTGGCATATTTCAGACCAAAGGACTATGTCATCCTGGTAGCAGCTGAATTGATCGCCACTCTTCATGATAACAAGAAAAAATACTAGAAAATTCATTTTGGCTTAGCAACATTTTTCTCTAGCTAAAAGGACTGTTAACCGCTCCCTTTAACGAACGCTTCGATCCCATTGCGTAGGTCTGCTTTGTCTCAAAAACCAGTAAAACTAAAAGCTGTTATATAAATAAGCATTGCCCAGCTCCTGTTCAGCCTCAACGATTTCTAATTGCAGCAATCAAATTTCTCACAATTGATTATTGGCTGGGAGGGAACTTAATAGGCCTGTAGAAAATATATGGGCTTATGAAAGGAATAGACTTACCAACATGCTTCTGTCGACAGGCAGGTACGAGGTGGCGAAACTGGAAAAGCTACTACTTACAAGAATGTTAGGGGTGGCGACCTTCAAAATTTAATAGAAGTGGAAAATGCCACTCAAGTAGGAGATAGATTAATATTTTTTTTGCCGATTCCAGTCCAGGTCTACACAATATCCACAAACACTAGAACGTGATCGTCAGCCAAACGAAACATTTTATATAGTTTTACAAATGCGAACCTTACTTTCTTCAGGCTCCAGCAATCACCTACATTTGCGGTCCTTTTTTTTTTCATAAAACTATCACGTTACAACTGAGACTGACGGAGAGAAACGGGCCGGCCTTATGCATTCACACGGAAGTCTAAATGTTGCGAGTTGTATGTGAGATAAGCATCGTTTCAGACAACTGAACCCCAGTAAAAGGCGCTGTGTGCCTACGACTGATTTCAAATCTAGGCCATCTTATTTAACCTTAATGTTAGTCGATAAAAGACATTATTTTTCACAGGCGGTATCACGGGCATTGGTATAAAATCCTCGTTCAAGCCTACTTCGGAATGTAACGAGAAACTAGAACAAATGAAACGTTGAAAAAACTTCGTTTGACCTCAGATAGCTTAAATATATACCAAACAAGTTGATGCTATGAACTAGATAAAAATGCTGTAGTTCTGTAGTAATAGACAAACAAGCACTTCGCCCTATTTACAGATACGCTTTGCTACCTTTTCGCTAATGGTTTACTAGGTATCGGTACTGTGCACTACAGAGCCAAACATTGCAACTTTCAATCAGCATGAGCCCATAGTCAATTGCGTGACTCGATGCAACGTCAGCGGCTAGAAAGGATAGAGTTTTAAATATGTCATAAACAAGCTGAAAGATGGCTTCCCGTTCGCACTATGCCACTAGATCGACCTCGTAAGACCTGTCGAAACCTGTTATTCACCCGTATCCTATATATCCAACATATATGTCATTCTCTACTCACCATTGCATCTCTTCGTCTTCCATCCACTGATGGACTAAATAATTTTCACAACGTTCGGGCAGTCGAATAATAATGCTGCTATTTTATATATTGTTATTATTATTATCATTATTGTTGTTTGCGTACATGAAATGCCAAGCAGACTGAAGCTGGGATGGCGGTAGTAATTGTGTGTGTTTGTCGATGCGTATTTGCTCGTATGCTTACTGTTCCCGTAATCCATATGAAGCGTGCGTCCAAGCTGCGCTACTGAAACTGTTAACAATCTAACTAAGATTGGCATGGCTTTTTTTGCGAGAAGGTTTCATTTGGAGCTTCGTGTAAATTTTTGTTGGACAGTCAACGACCTACACA